CCCGATTTTTTTCAAAGATTTTGGTAGTACATAAAAAATGAATAACTTTTATTTGAAACTTTTTTTCAATTTATCAACAAATGGCGCTGTAATTCAAAATTTAAGAAAATTGGGTTTCCTTGTAAAATGTATTATTTTAAACGTTTGAAAAACAAAAATTAACATTAAATCAACAATAGTCGGCTCTGAAAACAATTTATAACAAATGTTCAAAATGTCATCATTTCCATACATTTTTTAATGCGGGTCCACACATTTTTTAATGCGGGTAATGAATTCTGGCTCCACCATGTCCTCCGGAGTTGTAGGAATTGCAGCGTAAACTTTTTCTTTCAAGTAACCTTACAGGATGAAATCTGGCAAATCGTTTTCTAGAAAATTCCGATACTTTTCACCATTTAATGCCGTTCGCCAAAGGTACCGTACCAAACGTTTACCGACCAGGGACGCTGGTGCTCCACTTGGTATCGAAATGGAAGTATGAAATTTCGAACATTGGTTATAAATTGTTTTCAGAGCCGACTATTGTTGATTTGATTTTAATTTTTGTTTTTTAAACGTTTCAAATAATACATTTTAAAAGAAAACCCATTTTTCTTAAATTTTGAATTACAGCGCCATCTGTTAATAAATTGAAAAAAGTTTTAAATAAAAGTTATTCATTTTTTTATGTATACTACCAAAATCTGTAAAAAAAGGGTTATCCCATTTGACTCCAAAGTTACCCCCCGTTTCACCCTTAAGGAGGGGTAGGGGGTGGCTAGCAGTAGCACCTAATAATGTCCCCTTTGGTCACATTAACCTTTTATTTAAAACATTTTTCCGTGAAATGCGTATTTGTTGAGATATTGAGCTGTCTCAAGTTAAAAGAAACACCCTGTATCGGCGCAATATTTTTCAATGGATCAAATCATTTGATCCATCCATCTGAAAACTACTGCGCATATATGATGTAACTACTCCACATAGATCCAACCATCTCGTACCTACTGCGTATGTCCGTCATTTTGAATCCGCAATTTTGTTTTTTTTAATGGATATCAAATTCTGAATCAGGGACCCCATAAATATCTGAATACTACATTTTGTTTAAAAAAAAATGGATATTAAATTTATAATCAGGCCCTCAAAAACCACATGTTGTTGATAAGTTTATTGAATAAGTAATGCTTATTAAGCATACGGGTTTTTTTTTAATAGTATAAGAAGCGCCATAGATGTGCTTATACAGGGTAAATTTTAAAAATTATTATTATTTTATAAGTAATTCTTTCTTGGTTAACGTTAAGTTGTGTTATAAAATAATACAACGTTAACCAGGAACAAATTTTGTTTATTATGAAATGCAAATAATGTTCTCATTGGTCTAAATAAATATCGTCATTTATGTGCAAAATTATAATTTTAAGTAAAAAAAAAAATTGTTTACTTATTAACGGAATAATCGAGAGAACGAGAGAGATCGAGAGAAACGAGAAATTCTCGAGCGAGAGAGGGCATTCTCTCGTCTCGTCTCGAGCCTTTTCTCGAGAGAAAATCGCCCTCTCGTCTCGTCGAGACGAGACGAGACGAGACGAGAGGCGAGAATCTCTCGTATCGGCGGCATCACTATACTTCACCACTTTCAATTATTGTAAGTTGATTATTGTTATAATTTTTTGTCTACATAATACTTTAGGTACATAGGTACTTTAAAAATGATATTTTTACGTAATCAACAAAAGGAAGCTCAGCTTCCGAAGCTGTGAACATGTAGCTATAGCTAAATAAATTTATGTATTTTAAAATGGGGATTTTAATGTATGATAAAAGCCTTGAGGTCTTAAAACAAAAAGATCGTCCACCTTCACATCGCATAAAAAAAGTAAAATAACTTTTGTAGAATTCACAAGCAGCCACCGGTGATAAAGTTTTTGGGAATCAACTTAAAGTACCTATTGCTTGAGTAATGCGATTGGTATGTTGCACGGTATTTTGCCTTTTAGCTACAAACTCGAAGCAACAAATTCCGGAATTCCATTCATTCATTCATTCATTTGGTGACTACAGAAGATAATACATTGCGTCATATACATACCTTAATAATTATAATAATTATTACGAACATATTCATATTAGATTAAATAATGTTTCAAAGCACAAACTTTTGTTAGTATTGTAGTTATTATTGTATTATACAGTGTGGTCCGCCCTAAGTTGTCTACATAAGGAAAATCATTTTATTATTAAATTTACGAAAAAAGTTATAAAGTATACTCTCTATAAAAAGTTCTGCCTCTTGAAAAAATAATATTAGACTATTAAAACTTAAAATGGTATGTAAAGTAGACTGGGCCAAAAAAATCAATTTTTTTTTTTTGAAAAGTATATCGAAAATCTAGTTTGGGGTGACAAAAAAAATTATTGTGAAAGTTTGAGTACATAAATTAATATTAATATAATAAAAAAAGCCTCTTAACATTTTTGGCTAAATTCACTCAATCGAAAGTTATTCAAGGTTAAAGTTGAAGTCAAAACGAAATTCTTGTTTTTTCCTCTGTAGATTTATTTTTTTATGTATGATAATTTGATTTTTTTTATAAATGTGTATTACCTATATCACTAATTAACAATTTCCAATAAAGAAACAACATGATTGTTATTATTTAAACGATTAAATAGGTAACAGTGAAAATAATATTTTCTAAAGATAATAGCTTCTTAAAGCGAAAAAAAATTCTAATGTGTTATTTTTTTTTTAATTTTCAGTAATTTTATCAATAACATAAAGAGTTTCATCGATAAATGAAACCAAGTTTTTAACTGACCCAAAAAAAAATCTAGAGCGGAAAAAACAAGAATTTTGTTTTGACTTCAACTTTATCCTTGAATAACTTTCGATGGAGTGAATTTAGCCAAAAATGTTAAGAGTCTTTTTTTGTAAAGCATTTGATTTCCCATAAGAATATTTATCGGTTTTTTTTTTCGGGTACTGATTTTTACATGAATTACAAAATTCCAAAGTTAAAAGATCAAATTGTAAAACTATACCAATTTTTAAGGCATGATTGTAAGAAAACGGTTCATCTGACGGGAAATTACAATGAAACCCATTTTGTAGAGAATTAATTCAATTTTCTTCAAAAAATATTCCTGAGTCAATTTTGTTATACTCAATGGTTTGGGAGTTCTGAGACAAAAACTCGCTCAGGAAAAAAAATCTAAAATTAAATTTAATTTTCTTTTAAATGATAGCTAAAATAGTAAACCATCTAAATAATGTTTTGATGTATTATGCAAACTTTATATTTTTTTCTATTATGAGATTTTTGAGTAACAAGGATCCATTATTACAATTATTGTTAAAAATCACCCATAGAGACCAATAGAAACCAATAAAAAATCAGAATGGAATGAATTGGTCTTTATTGGTTTCTCAACAGAATGAGCATTGGTTTCTATTGGTAATTTCCGTACTGGACAAGCCAATAGATTACCTAATGGTCTGAATTGGTTTTTATAAGAAGTTACAAGTACAGGAAATTCCCAATTGAAATTCAATTTGTAAATACCACTTAAATGTTCAGCGCCTGCGCAATTTAATACAAATGACCACTTGTTTCTATTGGCAATTTTCTTATTGGAAAATACCAATAGATAAACTAATGGTCTGAATTGGTATTTTATCGGTGTGTAGGTACAAGGAACCCTATTGGTATATACCACTTTATTATTTATTTTCAAAATTCGCCAATAGGTAGGCAACCCTTGCATACCTCTCGCCTCTGTATATATGCTATAGCACAATACATAGGCCTATAAAGGTGGAATGCCCTTGAGCTGCTAAGTAAGGATTCCTTACTAAGGCAAAATTACTGGCCATGGAAACGCTTGGCGTTTTGGAATTTTTAAAGGGGCACAGGTCGTCCTGTGGCCCACTCTGCGAAAAGAAAGCAGTGGGCCCCCACTACTTACTTTTAGCAGAAGCTATTTATAAAATTTAAATTAAATGTTAAACAGCACTATTTTTAAGAAATTATTTAACCATTAAAAACACGTAATTTTTTACCTTTAAGACGTCTAAAATGGATAGTGGGGACCAATTCAAACCAATAGCGGTACCTCTGGAAAATCCAAATAGCTCTATTGGGAATTACCAATAAAATATATCTATAATATATCTATTGGGAATTACCAATAATATACGATTAGTCTCTATCGGTCTGTATTGGAATTTTCCAGCGGTCGCTATTGGTTTGAATTGGTAATTCATGGTACATATACCTACCACTATTGAGACCAATTCAAACCAATAGAGCTGCCGCTGGAAAATCCCAATAGCTTTTCTATTGGTCTTTATGGGTGATTTTTAACAGGGTTGCGATATTCTGGGACTCAAGGTAGAAGATAATTTACCAGAAATGAGAATTTAACGTTTAGCAAAAAGAAAAACTTGCTATACTTGCCCCTCTAAGAAAAAAAGACAAACTGCTTATGTTTGTTATACTTGTCAAAATCCTATTTGTTTAGAATGCAGCAAGAAAATATGTACCGAATGTGCTCAGTCTATGTAGTTTTACCAGATTGTATTTTTTTACATGTCGGTGTTTTTTTGTATTTTTATGTTTTATTATGATTTACCATGTTAAGTTATTGGAACAATTTTTTTTTTACGATTACCTACTAAATATTATAATGAAAAAAAAATAATCCTAAGTTAATGTGTTAAAAAATTATATATTTTTTAAGATTTAAGAATAAATGTTTTTTTTCAACATGGGCTTTTTTTACCAAACCTTTACAGTTGAAGGGTATTCAGTAGGTATATGTTGTAGAGAGGTTATAATAAATTTATGTTGTTTAAAAATTAAAAACTATTATGTAAAAACTTTTTACTAAAAAGCCTGTTCAACAACAAACGTCTCTGAGACGGCACGTTAGTACTAATGTCATGAAATTGGAACGTTAGTAGTTAAGGGTTAATATGCATAATATTTTAAAATTATCCTTCTTTGTTCCAGGAGTAATAATGATGTTCGCTTACTCAATGATGGGAAGAACTTTGTGCTATGTTACACCACCTTGCGATCACAATGAGGGCCTGTCCAGTACGCAACAGGTAGGTATTAAAAACCTATTCACAATTCATTTTACGCACTCTGATATGTGTAACTTAAAATAAAAATATGTTTTGTTTCTACATATTATGTTTCGGTGTAATTAATTATATATTTACACGTAAAACAAAGGTATTTACATTTAAAATTTACGATGTATATGACCGCCAAATCAAAGTAAACCAATCAGCATGTTGATCCTAGACGACGTTGTCGCTTTGATCTTTGTAACACAATATTACACCATACGATATTTGTTTCACGCATGGATAACGAATAATTAATTATAGATTGTTTAAAGCTTAAGTGTTTGTTTACTCTAAAATTTAAAGTAACATAATATTGACACCATATGTTAAGATTTGCAAATACTGAAGCGTTTATTAAAAAATATATAAAATATGGCAACTATGTACTCGAAACTACCGCCAGTTTTTAGCGCCATAACCTTAAAAATAAAGTCTAATAGCAGCTCACTGTTTTGTGTTTAAAACGTAGTTTTCTTAAGTTTACATTCAAAATGTGGAACAGCAGTCAATTCGGTAAGGAAAACAATCAGAATGAAGGTTGAACATTAATAAACATTGTTTATTTTACAAAAATTTGCAGATCAAACTGGTGGAAATGGTTTTTTAAATAACACCGAAAATAATTTTGGTAGTCCTTCGCAGAATAAAAAAGCGGTAAATATTTCATAAAATATTACAAATAGTTGCTAAAATGTGTTTATTTAGGGTGCAAGAAGGTTGCAAAGTGTAGTGCCGGTGGTTATTCGGCAGATAAGGGATTGCCATGAAGATGAGTTTAAAATGTTCGGTATGCCGACACAAATTGTAAGTACATATATACTATTATTTTTTAATAAATTAAAATACAAATTTGATGTGTTTTAGTTGCACATTGTTGGTATATTAAGAGTTATGAAGTACAATCAACGAAAGCAACATACAACATTGAGGACCACACAGGCACAATTAAAGCGATTTGGTGGTTAGAAAATGACGATGATACAACTCCGAACTTGCCGCCGGTTAAAGAGGGAAGTTATCTGCAGTTATTTGGCTCGCTACGTAACCAGGATGGCGAAAAAATCATAATGGTTTTACGAATGTTTATGGTTGATGATGCTAATCTAATAACAAGTCATTTGTTGCAAGTTATTCAAACTAGATTGCAGGCTGAGCATATGTCACAGAATTCGGTGAGTTTTTTATTATATTTAGGTAATTCTTAATATAACCTACATGTAAATAGGTTTTAATATTTTAAATAATAAATTAACATTTTTTAAAGAATTGTGTGTTAATTATATAAATTAATAAAGTATTAAAAATATCCATATACAAAGTGTACTGAAAATTTAAATTTAGCTATTATTGCTTTGTTCTAAATATTATTTTTAAATTTGCAAAATATTTTAGTATTACATGCTTTTTCAAATATCTTGAGTAATAAGCACCACAAAAAAATGTCCATATCAAAATTTACATTGTGTTAAAATTCTTAATATTTAATATTAAGTAACTAATTTATTTTTTGTAGAAAAAAATTTTAAACGCATTTTTTAATCTTAAAAATTGTTTTTAATCTTTTTAAAACAGTTTATAGAAAGTAATGTTTAGTACAAGACAATTTTTTAAACAGACTATAGTTTGTTAAAATAATTTTTTCAACAGTTTTATGGTTAATTCAAATTCTACCTATATTTGCTTTATTACATTAAGTAGGTTTTCTAAACATTCTAAAAATGAAAAAAACCCTTCATTTTTAATATTTAGGATTATATTGGGTATTTTTTCCTCTTGATTTTTTTTCAATATTTTTAGGATTATTTTATTTTAAACAGACCATATTTTGTTTAAATAATTTTTTAACAGTTTTATGGTTAATCCAAATTCTACCTAAATTTGCTTTATTACATTAGGTTTTCTAGACATTCTAAAAATGGAAAAAACCCTTTCTTTTTAATATTTAGAATTATAGTGGGTATTTTTTCTCCTCAAAATGAAAATACTACTTTATCCCATCCTCCTTTTGATTTTTTTCAATATCCTTGGGATTATTTCCTTCCTGCCTTTGGATTGATCTTTTAAAATAATTTTAAATTATGTTAAAAGTGCAAATCAAAATCTTGTAGAAAAAACAGTTTTGTCAATTTTTTAACTTGCAGAAAAACAATTTTTGACGCTAAATTGCCTTTTTGTAATTGTTCGAATAAACTGAAAATATACTGAAAATTGTTTAATGTTTATTTTTAAATTATATAATTTATTATATATTTTTTTAAATATTTGAATATGTTAAAAATCCAATATTTCCTATTTTTTTGCAGTATAAAGCAGGAAAATAAAAAAAATACTTTTAAATTTTGGACATGAAAAAAATTGTTTGTTTTTATTTTCATTTGTGAATTATTGCAAAAACTTCGGAGGAATTAAAATGCAAACCCCCGTTTGTAATGGGCGGCAAATCTTATTTCGCACACCGGCGCACAAAAGGTTTCAATTCTCGAAATTTTCGGCAAAATATCAAAGAGGTTTTTGGGGTCGCTGATAACGAATCTGGAATCAGAATTCCAAAATTCAAAATGGTAGATTCAAAATGGCGGACATATTTGTCAAAAAATTGACGGAAAAATTTTAAATCACCGTACAGGGGTTTTTGGGGTCGCTGATAACGAATCTGGAATCAGAATTCCAAAATTCAAAATGGTAGATTTGATTTAAAGTTTGCAAAAAAGTTAGGTTTTTAGCCTCCGGTCCCCCCAAATTAAGATAAATCAAATTAAAGTGGTGCAATATTTAATTCACTGCAGTTTAACGACAAATTTCAAAATTTATTTGTAAAATTTAAATATAACAGATTTTTATACTATACTATAAGTATTTTAAATTTTTATTATTTCTTTTACCTAATATTTTAGCAACGATTTTTTAATTCGCTAAAAAAATTGTCAACACAAATAAGCACAATTTAAATTTGACATTAACACACTACAATGCGCATGCGGAGTTGTTTTAACGCACCTACAAGAGGTGGGTTAAATATGTAAAATCGGTGTTAAATATCTTGGTAGTCACGAACGATTTACGCAAGTGAAAGTCTAGACACCGCTGTTGTAATAAACGTTTTTAGTTAAATCCGAGTGAATCGAGTAAACGTCATGTCGCAACCCAGAAATAAAAAAATCTTATATTTTGTAAAGCGAAGGTAACATGTAGTTTTAAAGAGCCGGGGGCGAGTTGGGGCAGATAATTTATTGATGGCTTGATAGACAAAACTCTAAGCTATTCAACGGATATTAAACTGATGCCTTACAATTCATTACAATTTTTGTAGCTCCAATGTTCTAAAAGCTCGATTCAAAGTTTGCGATTTTAACAGACCGATCTTGTCGGTTACAATAACCCGTTGTACAAGCAAAATCTACGAAAAACAAATGCATATCTGAATTTTACATACCTTGAAGATCACCCTTCATCAAACCGCCTAACAATCGGACACACCAAACACAAGTTATTCACTTTTAAACAATAAACAATTTTCCGCAGCGATCGCGTGTAAAGCACCTTCAACTGAAAGCGTCAAGTTTAAACTGATGTACAAGACAAAATATACATATTTTATATAATTTGTTTTCAATGCCCATCTAACTCAAAATTTACCTGAAAAAAAATTCAATTTTTAAGGTTTTGCCGATATTTTCGAGAATTGAAACACTGTGCGGCGGCAAAACAGCTAAGAACGGCCCTGCAGATTTAGATTTAACGGCTAGAAATACGTAGGATATGTCTGCAACATTATTTTCGATTCAATAGATGGTGCTGTATAAAAAAAAAATTTTTTCGATTTCTTCTACTACTACGTTTTTCTTAGGCTTAAAACATTTTATTTCTCAAATTTTCAATTACTGAAAAATGACTTGAGATACTTGGTCCTTCACTTATGAAGTGCTTTGTTTTAAAAATACCATTTTGCGTTTACCGTATATGTTGTTTCTTCTCTTTCTGTTTTTGTTGTCGTTTTGTTTTAAAAAATCATATTTTACCACAGACCTGTGTATTTTACCCAAACTGGAATAAATATAATATGCATAATAATGCATGTCAGCAAAATCACTAAATACTAATAATAGTAAACAGTAAAAACTACAAGCTACATATTGTTTTAATTATATTTGAATATATTATTTCTATTATTTAGGGAACAATAAAACCAAACATTCAAAATCCGGGCACTGCATTGCCCAATTCAATGAGCTTTATGGATGATAACAATATTTCAAGTGGACTTACGGCTATTCAAGCTAAAGTGCAGAGATTATTGCAAACAGATCAAAGTACTGCTGGTATGCACAGGGATGTATTATTAAAGAATTTCCCATCCAATCAACAAACAGAAGTCAAGTAAGTTTTGGATTAAATTTTTGTGAGATTTCGTGTATTTAATTTAAAATTTTTTAGTAATGCCGTCGAATTTTTGATAAATGAAGGCCATGCCTATTCCACAATTGATGGTGATCATTTTAAATCAACATCTGAATAATTTACGTATTATTGTTAACATGTATATTTAGGGTTATCTTTATTATTTATTTATATAAGCCTGCATTTTTCTTATAAAGCTGCACATTTTTCTTTTTGTTTTATATACTAAGTTACTTTTTATAAAAACATCTTTACAGTTAATAAAGTTTTTTGTTACACTAAATACAGTTTAATTAACCTAATCAAAATTCTACACAGACAAGTATGTAATTGTTATAAATTATATTCATTATGTACTATGTAATTAGAAATAACAGAGTTGTAATAGATTAAACCTTCTTCAGCACTTTTTGTAAATGAAGACATAAATGATTTATTAATTAAAGGATTTCTAAGTAAAAGCATTGCAACGGTAAAAGTAATGCTTTACAAGTTTTTGTTTTTAAGAGACAGGGTGTTGAAAGATTTAATTTTTTTTAATAACTTGAATAGCACCAAAAGGTAAGTAAAATACATTTTAGGAATTGTTATATTTGGTAATGCCTTTTCAATAATTATTACGCCATTATTATTTGTGTAAGATGTGAAAAAACTGGTATTCTCAAAGGTTTTATTACGCGAAAACAAGAGACCAACTTTTTTGTTTGTTAAAATTATCCAGATTTAAAAGTCTATTTTAGGGAATAATAATTTTTTGTATTATATCATAATTTTATTGTTTTACATTACATTTCATTTATTATTTATAGAGAATTTTATGTCTACACGGATAAAATTAACGTTAAAAATGAGATATTTTTATTTTATTCAGTTGGTAAAACACCGTAACAAATTTATACCGTATTGAATGGCTGAATCTTCTTTGAAGTCAGTACTTAAAATAAACAGTTGAATCTTCATTGAAGCCAGCTGCTTATTTTGAACAACCCGCGTGGAGGGAAAATCTTCTTTAAAGTCAGTAAAGGTGGGAAGGAATAATCCGACGGGACACGGATTAATAACGAAGGACAAGACTCGGGAGGGATGATTCAATGGAGCCAGTTATACGACTTTTATAAATTTGAGGTTAAGGTTCTGTTTTTCTAATTTTTTTTATTTTAGTCTTTAGGAAAAACTTAAATTTTTATTTATTTAGTTGACAATACAATTCATTATAATTAAAACCAATAAAATGCCAGTATTCCATAGTTACGCATTTTATCACAGCGACAATATTTTTTATCACCTTGTTTACACGTTGCTAAGGATATTGACACTTTTTTTGATTTGACATTTGTTGACATTTAAATAATGTATTTGTGAAATGATTAAAATAATTAATTATAAACTCTAAAAGATCGATGGGTTGGTGTAAACGATAATAAAATTAAGGTAAGTTTGAATAAATAAGGTTTATTAAAGTCTTTTTATATTTAAAGCACATTTTAATTTCAAATGTCAAACTGACAATTCGTTAAATCCTGAAATTCATTATATTTTCTCACTAAATATAACTCGTCCTGCGGACTCGTGAAATCTGCAGCTCGGTTTCAATTCGAAAATATCATCGATGATAATCATACCACTTGTTATATTATGGGTGAATATTTTTTACCAAATTTGTAGAAAATAGGGTTTTCAATAACTTTTTTTTCAAATTTGAAATACCCATATGTGTAAAGAAATTACTCAACGGGTATACCTTAAATAATTACGCAATACTAATATTGTTTCATTAAACGTTAATTAAATTAAAATTGTCAAACTTTAGTCTGGCATAGGCATTGCGTAAAACTGCGAAATTGCCTTAAGGCAATACGGATAATCCTTTTACTAGCTAGCGTTCTTTGTGCCATTATTTTTTACAACCACTAAGTCGTCCTACGTTACTTCAATAAAAATAGTAATTTATATTGCTTTGTCCGAAAGGCTAATTTTGAACTATATAGGTTTTTTATTTCATTAACAGTTTTATTTCAGTAACAGTTGTTTATACGTACTCCTTATTTACAAATAAACCAGTTAAACGCTAAAAAACTTCAAGAAATTTCTTAAGGAGATATAACGTATTATTAGTTTATTGTGCGACTAGTGAGAGAAAGGGTGAGTGAAGTAGAATCGCCTGTTTCAACCAATAGTCGAACACAATATTTTATTCAACTACCGCAAGGAATTTAAACCCAATTTTATTTGATATTTTATCTGAAATCTGACAGCTGTTAAGCTACTTTAACCCCACTTTATTTCAACCACCGTTTAAAGTTAAGAAATGAAATGGGTGTTGAATAAAATAATTATTACTTTAGAGTATAACATGGATAATTCAAGATAACTCCTGAAACGTTTTCGTGATACGTGATCGGATATTTTTTTAACTTCAATTGATTAGAAATTGAATTTTCTTTAAATTCATTTAAATTTTTTTAGTAGGGATAGCTCAAGGTGAAAGGGTGCAACATAAAATTTGTTTAACACTGGATTTTTACTTTTCCCTCGATATCTAAATCGACCTGTTTTTTCTCAAGAACACATTTACTATAACTCAAACGTTATTAAGGGTGGCTAGTTTTTAATTGAAAGACCTGTATAATATAATATATTATGTAATAACAAATACATAGAAAAGAATTTTCTTTGGAAAATAAAATTCCAGGTAATTTAATTAAAAGTTACCTTTATGATAACACAAATAAACTTCTTTGGAAAATTAAAATTCCAGGAAATATTTAAGTAGGTTTACCTACTTTCTATAATAACACTTTAGTATTTATTAGTAAATTCTTGATATATCAAGAATTTTAAATCTATCCATTTATCTATAGATAAATAGATAGATTTATTTCATCTCTAAGCCAACATAATACAATTAGATAGATAAGTCACAAAAAGACATTTGTGCATATGAAATAAAATAAATTTTATTGAATAAAACGCTTTTTATAATTATAATGACAAGGTGATTTCTTGTAAAAATATATAAGAGAACTGATTTTATCAAAAATAATTATATTCTTCCGTTTTGGGGGTCATCCATAAATTACCTCAGAGATGCGACTTGAAAAAATTCGGTCCGTTTTTTTTGTTTTTTTTCAGGTTTTTTTTTATTGTTTTTTTTTTAAATGTTTTTTTTTTCATGTTTTAGGTTTTTTTTCAAGATTAGTCCCATTTGCCTAATTTTGTATGTTTCCAGTCCAGTTCGTGGACTAAAATTAGCCTCTAAATGACATTTAGTAAATGTAAATACAGTCTCGCGCTTTGCACGCGCCACCACCACCGAATTGACCAATAAGGGCCGCGCTTGTTTTGATTTGGTCCTAAAAAAAGTAACTACCTATAATATTTTTGATTCAGCGCTTGATTTTTCAAAAAGCTACCAAAAGCACTTTTTATTCATGATTTTTCAAATTCATGTAGAGTATGGAAATTTTTTTTCAAAAAAACAATAGCAAATTCTTGTAGAACATTCATTGGTGGTCAGAACATTCCGTGGACCAAAAAAAAAGCCAAACAAATTTCGAATTTTTTTATTACGGTTTTCGTTAGGATTGAGCGTTGCACGTTTTTCATCTAAAAATCTCAAAACTAGAAACTTCAAGCTTCAAATTGCTTTTTTTACGGCTCCAATACGACCATTTTTAACAAAGATACAGCTATCCGAAAAATCGCAAAAAATTTGGAATTTTTTTTCTATTAGTGTAAAAGTTTTACATTGCTATTGGTTTCTTATGTGGAAACTACTAATAATAAGAAATGAGATTTTTTAGTCTCGGTCAAAATTTTCAATAATTTATTATTAATATAAATTTTTCTCGAAATTTCATTTTAAAAAATTACTCCATTTAAAAAAAAACCGTTTTTTTTCTAGGTTTTTTTTTCACATCTGAAAAAAACGTTTTTTTACATCTCTAGTGGGAGGCAAATTCTTATGATGACGTCATCATTTTTCTTTCACGTAAAAAATTAAACAGCTAGGCATTAAAAGAAGAAAATTCTAATGATGTACAAATTAATAAAAACAAAAACATGATTATGATTGGGAGAATGTCCCAATATGGACGACCCCTTATAATTATGTGGTACAAAGTAAGGCTAGGTAGATCTGACAGAAGTCAAATTTTTTTATTGGCCTGTGTCGGGTTTTCTACAGACTGGGGGGTAAACAAATTTACCCGATTTGTCCAAATTATTTTTAGACCATGCAATAACCAATCACTTTAGTAGTGAGTGATGACAATAATAAAGTTTAAATTACGGAACGCTAGAAGATTTCAGTCTTATTTAATATGAATTTTTTTGAGAAAATGCGTAACTATTCTTATTGTCATCCATCACCACAAAATATTAATATAACGGTTAAAAGAAATTGAGGCTGATTGTGACATATTTAGTACAGAAGATGCAAATAAATTGCCCGTAGACTAATGGTCTGTCTCCCGCAATTGCATAACAAAATTGTACTGGGCTGTCTTTTGCCAATAACAATAAGTCTTATTTTTATTACATATGGACGGGACATACTAAAATGGATGACTTTTTTTACCGTTCATTATATTTCCATTTATACCTACATGCTGAATTAATTTTTTATTTTATATTTTTATAATAGGTAAACAGCTTAAAATTTTTATAAAGATTTATTTTTTATAGCTTTTAATATCCTAATTGAATTATTAACTAAATACCTTATAGTATGAATAGTATCACAATCCACACAACAATAAACGATAAAATGCGAACGAAGATCAGGACTGTTATGCGCACCACGTCAGATATTAATGGCCACCATCTTTGATTTATTTGCCGCTGTTAATTTAAAAATAAAACGTTGTTTAAAGTTTTAATGTAAACGCAAATAAACCCCATATAACAAAATTTAATATACCCCACAATCCACATTGAATGTGAATAGTATGAAGTTTTAGGTCAAGCTATAAATTTAT